CCGGCCCGGCCCGGCGGTTCGTTGAACCGCCGGGTAAAAAAAAATAAAAAAAAAACAATTATGACTCGTCGGAAAAACTGTAACTGGCCCGGCCCAACGGGTCAAAAAACAAAAAAATTGAGAACCGAGACAGAACCGCATGGGCACGGTCCGGTTCATATGCCCGCGCGATTCCGGGCCGGTGTCGGTGCCGGTTCGGTCCAGGCCGGTGCCGGTTCGCGAGCCGGGCCGACCCGTGACCATGTCTAGTTCCTATGAAGAAAAAGTCAATAAACATTAGGAAAATTTTAAGTTATCCTATGTGATTGTGAAGATATTACACATATACAATCCAAATATAAATAAATGTGTATGTAACTAACATATGACATCTAATTGAAGTAGTGCCTAAATTCTGTTACTTTTTTTTGGCGTGATTATGTTACCATCCTGTCACCGTCGCAGTGGACTCCGACGAAATTGCAGGGATCGACAGTGAAATCCCAAGAGGAGAAGTAATTCGATCTGGGCAGATCGGAGAGGCCCTTCCAAATCGATTGGAGCGCGAGGAAATCGATAGGGTCGAGTATCGCCTGCATGAGGAGCAAAAATTGGGCGAAAAGTACGAAATTGCAGAAAAGCTTCATCGCCAACGATGGCTTCATTTTTTTATCATGATATTACAGTCGACTATATATATATATATATTTAACATATACTGTACATATATTGATCATATACTGTATATATACCACAACACAACACAAACGATAGAAACGCGATCTATCTTTTTCTTTAAGAAAAATGCAAATATACCACAAAAAGAAGTTGACAGGTCGATTAAAATCAAGGTATATTTTTTTACTCCTACCAAGTAAAAATATATATTTAAAATATATACATATACTGCACATATACCACAACACAGCAAAACGATAGAGGCGCGATCGATTTTTTTCTTAAGTTAACGTAAATATACAAAAAAAAAGTTGTCAAGTCGATTAAAATCAATGTATATTTTTTCCTCCTGCCAGGAACAAAATAGGTAAATATTTAACATATACTTTACATATATGTTTATCTTGTTTTTGTGCTTATTTTTGTGTGTTTTATGTGTCTTAGTTGAGTCTTTTTAGGTTTGTTTTAGTGTCGACCAATCCATTTTATCGTGTTTTGTGTATTTTTGTTCTCGGTTTATACTTTGTATTTTTGCAGTATTTTCTTGAGTATTTTGGTATTGATTAAGTCCGAATTGTTCATGTTTGGGAAGAAGAGTCATTTCTAGGGTGTTTCCAAGCTGTTCGAATCATTTTCGAGCAATCCGAGTTACCCGAGAGAATGAGATTCAAGCCGAGACCCTAAACAGCCCCGCGCCCAAGCACTCACAACGAGTGTTATTTCACGATGCACGATCTCCCGTCCCTCAACCTCGGTACTCGCTACCAACTCCTCCTCGACCTGCGAGACGCAAGCCGAGGTAGCCACCTGGGCACTCGCTGCGAACGCCGCTTCGCGCCCTGCGAGCCAAGCCTCCCCAATAGCCCATGCCACGCACTCGCTGCGAAGTTGAAGTCACGCCCGGCGAAACGCGCACGCCACAGCTATCCAGGCACCACACTCGCAGCGAACCCGAGTTCACGTGCCGCGAGCCGCACGCCGCAGCACACCATGCCCGCACTCGCTGCGAACTAGCTTACGAGACCTGCAAACGCCCGTGCTTGCACAATTTCACTCCCAAACTCGCAGCGAACCATGATTCGACTGACGAACTTCAGAATTTCATTAAATATGTGTGTTTCTAGTGTGTGTTTGTGGTGTAGTTATAAATAGACATTGTGCTTTGTATTTTCTCTCTTTTATTTTTATGCTTTGGTTTGGAGATTTACGACTCGATTTTTTCGGCGAAATTCTAGCAGTCTTATTTTGTTTAAAATTTGAGTTTTATGCCCTATTTTCGTCCGGACATGCGATAGGAGAGTAAGTATCTTGCTTAGGACTTACTACTTCGAGTTTATTTTTCAAATTGTGTGTTTATGCTCGTTTCTAGGACTTGCTTTATTTTCATTGCTTGCTTGAGTGTGTTAGGAATTCAATACGTGTTTATTTTGTGTAAATGTCTTGACTTTTTTCAAAGGTGATGATTTAGTTAAAAAGGCTCGTGTTAGATTACCTAGGATTAGGGTTGTAAACGAATCGAATCAAAGTGAATACTTAGAGGTTCGATTCGGATTCGCTAAAGTATTCGAAGATTCGAATTCGTATTCAATTCGTTAACGAACTCATTTTTTTATTCGTATTCGATTTGTTTAGAATATTCGAACATATTCGATTCGATTCGAAATTCGTTTTCAAAAGCAATTGTAATTAAAAACTATTATAATTACAAAAAATAATTTTTATTTTTCATATTTTTTAGGAAAATTTGTTAATTTATGATGTTTTTTACTTTTTCTGTCATATAAATTGTAGGAATATAACTAAATATATATATATATATATATATCCATATATATTATAAACAAAACGTATACTATATAAAATTTATAGAATTATTGTTAACGAATTGAATATCTACAAATTCGAATTCGGATTCGTTTAACTTTCGAATATAAAACATTATTCGTATTCGAATATTTCGAATTCGAATCACGAATATCTAATTCGAATATCGAATCGAAAAAAAAAATTGATTTGTTTACAAGCCTATCTAGGATCACTTAGCTAACATATTTCTCTTTGTGTATTTTCTTTTTCTTGAGTATGATTCCGTTCAACCAAAGTTTCGATCTTTCTTTCAAATCATGCATCCTACACCTTTTGCTCTTAATCTCCTAGTTTAAGTTCGTGCAAATTTAATCCCTTCAAGTGAGTAGAATGTTTAAGACCTTAGTTTTGGTGATGTAGTTTTGACGACTAGGTAGTGAACGAAGCTTCGAATAGTCTTCCTTGGAGAACGACCCGATTCGGGTAGCTTGGTTACCATCTACCCCAAAATGATAGAGGCGCGATCGATATTTTTCTTAAGAAAAGTTACGCGAATATACCACAAAAAAAAAAGTTGACAGGTCGATTAAAATCAATGTATCAAGGCGCGATCCCATGATCCATCGCTTCAGATTTGTCATCCTGCCCACTAAGAAGAATGGTCCGGTGCTCGCAACTCGACCGCTTCATCCCTATCGTGACCCCAAATATCCTAGGACACATTCACTCTGCGCCCCGCGTGTTCGCCGATTTTACCGGCACCCTCCCATCCTTGCCCGGATTCGCCGCGTAGCTAGACATTGGGCTGCATATATTGCTGCAAAGGCCCCTCAACCGATCCAATTCCTCGCTCACCTGCGAATTCTCTGAGCCTCTCGGTCTCTTCTAGTATCTCCGACGACCTGAAGTTCTCTGCTTGGCCGGTAGAAGGACGAATTATGGAGGCGGTAATCTTTCTATATTTATTCTCCATAATAATAAAATAAAAAATCTGGTATATGTGAAGATAAGTATGCAGAATTTAGTAGAGTTGCAAATAAATATTTATTAGGTGTATAAATGTAATATAAAGTGTATTGAATGGTACTTGATGCAAATTCCTCTAATAGTAGATAGGTTCAAATATCTACTAGCCCACTTGTCTCTACGAAAAGAAAAGGTTAATAATTGACACCAAGAGTGAGATTTACAGTGGTAAATATGGTGTTAATATTAAATTAATTTTTATAAATTAAACTAGTACAACGCTCGACACGGGTGCTTGCTAATTTTTTTCTTAAAATCTAAAATTAATGATAAAAAGTAGTTGAAAGTTTAAATACATTTTATAAATATATATATATTATTATATATTTAGTATGACACTTTTTATTTGTGCGGCTTACGTGTGTTATATTATAATAATTTTTTTAACTTACAACATATAACTACATTAAATATAAATATATCAATTGAGAAATAATTTTATTTTTCTAATGAATTTTAATAAATATTATTATTTTTATTATTATAAAGATAAATATAATTTATTTATTTCATATATACAATATGAATGTCAAATCGAAGATCATCAAAAGATGATTAATTTTATATATTATATATGTAAAACCGAGAAGAAATATAAAAGTTATCAACTTTTAAAATACATTTACAATTCAATAGTTAATTGAAGAAAACAAATCAAAAGTCAGGGATATAATAGTCACTTAGTGCCTCACTATGTAAAATTACAAAAAATTAAAGGGTTATATTAGTACAAGTGATATTAAAATACCTAAGTTAGCTAAATAATATTTATGGAATGACCGAACCTAGATTATGAATTATTATTATATTAATATTATTTGTCCAAACCTAATTACAAAGCATAATTTTTCGCCAAATTAATTTTTGTAATTAAATGTGCTACATATTATATCATTGTTTGTCCTACAAGAACTAATCCGCTTTGTGATTAATAATATAATGAAAAGTGAGAACGAACTGAGTACTATTTTTAGGTGTTTCGAATTACATAAAATATTAACTTGTATTAACTTGTGCAAAATACATAAAATTTGTACATCATGTTTTTAATACATTTCAATTATTAACATGCTTAAAATCATCTAAAATACTAAAATTTATTTTCGCAAAAATATCTCAAAGTTTGTCAAATTTTATTTTGTTTTAACAATAATAATAAATTTGCTAAAAATTTATTATGTTGTTATAGTAATAAGAATTTGGCCCATTTGCTTGGTAAAATCTACACTATTAAAAATGGTGAATTAGAGATTGTCAATTATTTATTTATTTAGTTAAAATTAGAACTTATAATCATATTTATGATAAAATAAAAAAATAGATAACACGATAGTAAAACACGAAACATGTTAACATGAACATGACTGATCGTGGCAATTGATAATTCAGAATATATACTAACAATATTCAACTTGAGAAAGGCAACAATTACATAATTTATTCCTCAAAAGTCTTTCTTTTTGTTTACAATACCAAAAGATTACACAATAACCATACATAATTATATCATTTTACAAAGGTTGTAGCAAAATCTTAACTCCATGTTTTGGCTGTGTTGTGAGGAATATATCGGGCGAGTGCACGTAATCTCCCGAGAGCGTAAACTCGTAACGTTGGAGAATCATCGCAAGCGCGATTTTGGCCTCGTTACTCGCGAAATTCATACCGACACAAATCCGAGGTCCAAAACCGAATCCTAGGAAGGCTATCGCATTGCCGTTGGTCGCTTTAGCTAAACCCTCGGAAAATCTCTCGGGCCTGAAAAGATGAGCGTCTTGCCCCCATATTTCTGGGTTTCTGTGCAGGGCAAGAGGTGGAATCGACAGGTTTACGTTAGCCGGAATTTCGTATTTTCCTAATTTGACCTTTGTGTTCGTCCTTCGAGTGATATTCGTCACGGGACTGTATAGCCTCAACGTTTCGTATATAATCATGTTCACCTACACAAGGAAACACGACTTTCTCGACATTACATTTATTGTGGTCAAATATAATAAAACGAAATTGCATTCATATAAATGAGAGAAAAAATAGAAAAAAAAGACACTAGTGATCTTTGATAACCTTTCGATTCTATGTTTTCTTGGATGCAAGAGTATTCACATTTTTTGCCAAACTCGGTCGAAAAATGGTTCAGGCATTTGATCATCTAAATGAGAGAAATTTTGCCAGAAAAAAAGACCACACGTGAACATTTTTCACCAGAACCACACAATACGGAAAGTAATTTAGCCCACTCGACAATCTCCAAGACTATCAAAACCGTCAAAGCTTAGAACTTTATCTTTGAGCAAAACAAGATTTTGGCACGGACCCGTTAAAAATTGCATATCAATTCACAAAATTTGCTTACTATCTTCAATCGGGCAAGGCCTTCTGAGTTTGGTTTTTTCCGTCCGAACAACTCGAGCACCTCATTTCTCGCTTTCTCTTGCCAGTCCGTGTGGATCGCAAGAAGCAAAACACTCCACGACAGTAAATTGTAAGTCGTTTCTTGCCCGGCAAAATAGAACGTTTTACATTCGTCGATTATTTCAGCAGCCGATATCGGGCTCTCCAAGCCCATATCGTCGTGAGATTTCAAGAGTGACCCAAGAAAATCGTTTCCAAAGTTTTGGGCCCGGCCCGTTTTCACCTCGTCCCGTCTCTTATTCACGAGTTCCATGATGGAGTCGTGAATTAGCTTCTCGACTCTGTCAGCTTCAATGTCGTCCTGTGTTCTTATGAACTTTCTGAAAATTTTTGCCAAAATATTACTAAAGAGTTCAAGTTTTGTTTAAAAGAAGCTAAGATAAGCTAAATATAGAATAATGTGATTAAGGGTATGTTTAGTTAGATTATAAGCTTCTTGTATTCAAATAAGTTTCGTTTGGTAAGACGAGCCTTTTGAACTTATCTCATAAGCTTTTTTGGGTATCTTTTCAAATAAGGTCGTTGAAAATTTTATTTAAGCTAGCTTACCTAATTTTACCAAACACTTTTATCATTTTTCAGCTATAATCTCGAAAATCACTTATCAGCTAGTTCTACCAATATAGCTTAAGTGAAACAAACTGAAAAATAAGTTACGAATCAGAAGCCGGGAGCATTTTAGAAACCTTTAGTTAAAAAATGATAAAAGCAGGGTCATAAACTATGCCAGAAGGTATGGGTACGCAGGGAATCAAACCAAAAGCAGGGTCATAAATCCAAATAAGCAATATCCTAATTATGCTTTCGGATTATAGCTTCTGATTAAATTGTGATCGAATAAGACGCTAATACTCGCAAACACAACGAATGTACTTTTAAATTCTTCAAAACAAGAAACCAAGAATCAGTTTTCATGTTAGTTTCTGCAAATATAACCCCATGCCAATGCAGAAAACCAATAGAATATGGAAATGCAGAAAAAACGTATCAAAAATCCATACTCAGTGCCGAAAAATCTGATCGTAAACGCGTTTTTTGAAATCAAAGCATACAAATCCCTGAGCATTTCGAATATCTTCCTCCCCTCAACATAACTGCTTCCGAAAGCTGTCCTCGAAATCACTTCTGATGTAAGAACCTTAAAATCACCGCAAACATCGATTTCTTTACCATCGTAACTTCTCCATTTTCCCAACATAGCTTCAGCACTATCAATCATGGCCGGAACCATATCCTAACTCAAGAATGATAATCAATCAAGAAAAACCAACTTTTTTTCAACTCACAACTAATTAGAACTACAGCTAAGCAAAAAATCAAACACCTTAAGGGCAAGTTTGAAAAATCTAACATTTATAAATTAAAAAAGCCATTTTTACCTTGACACAGTCTCCATGGAAAGCATGATTAGCCAGTTTTCTAAGCTTAAACCATTTTTCACCTTCTGCCATAACAATCCCATCTCCCAACAGTTTCTTCAAGTAACCTTTTATTTTGGTCTTTGGATAAAAACCCTCTCTGTTGCTAAGTATTTCCTTAATCAAATCAGGCTCAGTAACAACTATATAAGGCTGAGTACCCATCCAGTGTACAAAATTGTTCCCTAAAAATTACATGAAAATATATATAAATATATATTTATATAAATTTTCACTAATAAAACAGAAAAAAAAA